GTGTGTGTGTGTGTGTGTGTGTGTGTGTGTGTGTGTGTGTGTGTGAAAGAGAGAGGAAATGATCAGTGGTTCCCGGGGCGAGTCGCTCTCTCATAAAGCGTCGAGTAAATTAGGCGGAATGACGGGATGAAAAATAATGTCGGGACTGTATAGCGGTAATGTATAAATGATACCGCGACCTCGGCGAATGCGCAAAGTCCTATGAATCAGAGTCCCAAAGGTAACGACACAATTCCCTTGCCGCGAGGGCGGAAGATAAGCTATGTGCACGCGACATTACCGGCCGTAAAGGGTGCGTTTTGCCAATGCGCGAGGGAAAGAGCCGCTTTTTGTCGGTCACGATCTATTCTCGCGTAACGCTGAATCGCATGATGCGCACGGTCATTAGCACATATAAAGACGTCACGGTATTAGTACAAAACGATTAGTACAAACGATTAGTGCGATTCCACGTGAAAGCTTGAATCGATTTTTATTGGCAAAATTGTCGCAACTGTTTCAAATATCGAAGCGTAAGCCCTCGTGTAACTTTAAACGCATTAAATCCGCATTTCTGTCAACGAAAAACTTTTCAATTCGAAGAACTGTAAATATCGCCGAAACACATAGAAAAGCTTGTGAGGATTTGGAAGGCCCGGCGGAACGCTAATTAAAATATACACATTGAATTCGAAGGGCTCAGGATTTGCTGACAGAAAGCGCGTTTGCCGTCGGCCTCGATACATTTCCATTAACCACTACAGACTCTCTCTCCATCTCCGCGACGCGAATGTATATTCCGTCAGCTAATACGTGCGTCTCGCCGGCAAATAGACGCAGATTGCGCGCCCGGTCTGGGTTCCACTTCCGTTCTCCCTCTCTTTCTCTTTCTCTCTTCCTCCCCCCCCTCCCTCTCTCTCTCTCGCTCCAGCGCGGTGCCAAAGTTTTAATTGGATACGAGCGGGCGGCGGAGCGTTGGACATAAAATTAGGACGAGGTTTATCCGTCCGATTTATTTCGTCGGTCCTCTCTCGGAAGTGCGCCGGGGTTGCGGGCGTCACGTTTCCGGCCGTGAGAGAGTGACATTCTGAAACTCCGCTGCTACTGTTGCTACTGTTGCTGCCATCTCCGCCGCCGCCGCCGCCGCCGCCGCCGCCGCCGCCGCGAATCGAGATCCCATAAGTCGGATTACCGCTGGGTGTACACGTGGATTCCGGGAGATTCCGCGCTCCGGAAAGCCGCTCGCGCTCGCGAAGCGGTCAGCCGCGCGCGGTCTAGTCGAACCGTAATGGCGAGAATGCTTCCGGGAATGCTCGGTGACCAAATTCAAACTGGTTGCACGCGGCTGGCCTGAGATCCAACCCGTTCTCTGCGGGACGTCGTGCGGCCCAAATCGAATTTGTACGTGATCCGCTACGCCGGAAGAACAACGGACGATACGCGGGAGACCACTCGAGTGGTACGAGGGAAGGGACCGATTTGCGGGAGCTCACCTATTTGTTTGCCCACGATCCCCTCCAAGTTCGCAGGAAATGGCGAATATTGTGGAATAGAGACTGAAAAAAGCATGCTCGCTTCGCCTCCGTCCTGATTCGGGATGATTCGGTAACAAAAATTATTTCAACTTAATTTCAGAGCATTTAAAGGTGTATATTCGTGGCTAATCTAAATTATATTATATACAAAACAGAGAGAGAGAAAGGAGGAGATTAATAATAATAATAATAATAGGTATATCTGACACGACTGTCATGCAGCCGTAGAATTTATATTCGTTGCTTTATACGTTGTTTCTGTTCCGAAAAAATAAATGTATTCAATTAATTTCGTTATCCATTGCGCTACGTAAGCCGTTATTATTTTAATATTTGTAGTTCAAAATGGTATTTGCACTAATATTTAATTCCGTAGAAACAAAGCGCGCGACGGGCTCGCTCGTTGTTTAACTTTGAGTCGTTAAACGTTTGTTCAGCGCAGCAGTACTTGAGATTTCGAATCTCCGTTGCAGCTGATCAAACGTTAATAAAGCACCTCTTAAAGAAAATCTTTATACAACGGCGTGTAATCCGGAGCAAAATTTATGGAAAAATGGTACAAGTATCAGCCGCCGTTTCAGCGGCATCTTCATCGAAATAATCGACATTTCCTCATTACGTGCACCTTGTGTACTTGGGAAAAGGATACACTTGTTAATTATTTCGTACTTGCGTAGCGTGCTCTATCGACCTGAGCCCGGCTTTCGATTATCCCATGCTCCAATTACTTCCATTTACTTTGACGAGTAACTCTACCTCTTCCGGTTTGCTTAATTTAGTGGAACGGTTGCCAGATAACAACACTTTAGACTTAGATACGCTACCTTAGAAATTATAACGGCATCCGTGATAATCGTTTACGTTTTTATCCAAAATATTACATTTTATCCAAAATAATTACGTTTAAATATAAGTTATCATTAAATACAAGTGTTGATGGTGCATTTCTGCCATTTAATAGCATTTTTTGAAACTTAATGATTATCCCAAAAATTTCTAATGATATCAATACGTTTTTCTTTGTATTAATCCGCATACCAAAGTTTATCAATCCTGATGTAAACCTTGTTTGGTGAACGCATGTTCGACAATCCAACTGAAGTTATTAGCTATTGCTCGCTAAAACCGCGCAGCGTTCCCAATAAATCGCAACTCACGCAAAGAGAAACATTAAATCCCGGATTACGTTTATTTATCATGCTTAAATAAATTCGATCAATTGAGTGCGATGTTCTGATTTTCGCTTCTGTATGTTCCGCTTTTAATCGCACGCAATGTCGAACAATTTTGAACGCGTCCAACAAAACATCCATAAATTTACGTATCACGGGTAAATATGACAAAACTTGATATCAAGATGTGACATCAAATTTATGCCTTGTGTAAAAAATCAAATTTAAATTATTTGAAAAATCCATAAAGGAAAGCAAGTACGGGCAACTTGAGTCATTCGATGTATCCGCCTTATGGATTTTTTAGTCAGTGAAAACCGGCTGAAATCAACAAATATCATCAGTTCACACTCGCCGTTATATCCGCGTGTCACGAGACAAGATCAAACAGACGCGTCTGCCTTTCATGCAATTTTATTACCATATAATAAAGCAACGTGTCGCGATATTGCGAGGACGGCAAAGCCCTGTCGGTCATTGCTTCACACCTACCATTGCCTTTATGAAACATTGATCGTGCGCGAAATATTAACGCGAATGCCAGCGGAGGTGCAGCGTAAGTGACACGACGCTCCTTCAGCGGCGACAATCTCATCACTCGCTAATAACGCGCGCGATTCATGGAAATTTATAATAAAATAAATTTTACATCTTTAGGTACAATGTGGATACAGAATACGTTCCGTAATAGCCTTATCCTATATAAAAATTTTCCAACTGCACTTTCAAGTAGATACACGTTTCTATATTCACAGTCTTCGTTTTTCTTCGACAACTTTTTCGTTCGAGCGTAAAGCGTTTCATCGTTGCCATTTTCTTCTAGTCTGCGGCAAGGCTTAACAAAAGTTTCGAAAGTAACTCCGGACTAATTATTCAGTTACTCGAAAGCTTCGTTTTACACTACCATATCCATTTTACCTTCGGATTAAAAGTTACTCTCGCCCTCCCTCCCTCCCTCATTTCCGGGGCTTACCCTAAAATCTTATAACTTTCGATGACAGATAAAATTCATTAAGTCCGATAGCCAGGTTTATAATCGCTTTCTCGGTGCAGCTTTTAATTTTTAATGCATCGAGTACGTTTGTGTGAAAATTTGCAGGAATTTTTCTACATGTGCATTTAGAATCATTGTCAACCTGACTAAGAATTTATTTTTGCCATAAGAATTTAATGAATGCAATCGATTTTAATATATTCGCTGTTTATTTTCAAAAATTAATATAAGTGAATAAAATTTAACTTTCGCGTTTTGGTTTGCAAGTTGTTACATATTTATTTCTACAACATATGCAAGTTCTATCATTAATCATTCGTTACGCTTTTACGCAGGGCAGATCTTTTATACTACTTAAAAAATTAACAATGTTTGCGTTGCAACGGCATTAAATTTCAGAGGCGAAAAAACTTGAACGCACATTGATTAGCAAATTTCGAGCTTTTTGGATCGTAAATTTTTTCTTAACGTACACGGTGGAATTGATCCACCGCTCATTACGCAATATGCTCGCCCGCGAGTGGTAGATAATTTCATAAACATTCCGCATTATCGTCGCGCAACGCGATATGCTGTTGATGACGCGCTTCCACGAAATTCAACCGGATTGCGAAGGAATTTTAATATAATTACTTGTGTAACTACTAGCGTTCGCGAACCTGTAACGCAAACGTGTAACGTATACGCAACGTATGTTCGTAAATCAGAGTTGTTACACAGATGAAATTCCAGAACTCTCTCCGAATTTCCCGGTTTTGCCGACTAATAAACTCTGCTTTTCCCAACTCTTGGCGAATCAAAAATTAAAAACAAAAAGAACCGAGCAAACAAAAATAAAATGAAGATAATGCAAAAATACGATGAAATAAACAGTAAATAAACTAGAAAAAAATAATATTACTATATTTTACTACCATTTTGTTATATAATATGTGTACGCTCATCTCTGAACGTTGATTTATAATATCGATTCGGGACATCAACGAATATCGTCGTATAAACAACTCGTTTCCCGACTTCCGCTGATATTCCCTGGCCGTTTTCAATCTTTCCGACTAGTTCGGGTTTTCATGGTTTTCCCACAGAGTTTGCAGCGAGCCTGCAAATGTATCTTGGAAATTCACACGAAGAATATCGGTGCGAGAATGAATTTGCCGGTGGGACGCGCGTACCCGCGCACATAACTTACGATTATACGATACATTGATGAATGCATTCGCGTTCTTTGCGTTACTTTTGCGCTACTATGACGAAGTACCCGATACTATTTATTCTGTTGCAGGTACAGTGACATTTATCATCGGTTTCACGGGATGCGTCGGCGCGCTACGAGAGAACACATGCCTCCTCGCCGCGGTAAGCTTTTTCTCTATGGGATTCAATTACGTTCACTCTGAATTACTTTAATTGCCCAATATCTTTCGAAACTTCGAACTTTGATCGAGCTTCCGGTTCGTTACGTGATATCTATGAACTATCAGTTGGCCAACCGCCCCGCGCGATTGAACGAAAGTTCGTCCTTTGAGAAATGCAACGTTTAAAAGTACTTAAAACCAGAGGTTCCATGTTTTCTTTGACGGCGAATTCTTCAGATTAGAATCTCCTGAAAAGGAACGAATCATACGGCACTTGATGAAAAGATGGTTTTAATGAATAGTAAGCTACTAAGAAAGGCACTAATGGATACTAATTAATTTCTCAAAGAAATTTGATGAAATTAATTTTACGTGTTGTAGTACGCAATATTTCTGGCTCTACTGCTGCTGATGGAAATGACTGCCGGTGTCCTGGGATTCATCTTCAAAGACTGGGTAAGTATTACAGCGTAATTTATATATTTTCTGCATTTTATAACACTTTTTAGATTTATATTTCGCGAATTCACGCATAGTAATAATTACAGTACAAGTTTCAGTAAAAAATAAACACGTATATATATATATATATCTTGTAAATATTAAAATAAAATATTACAGAACGTTTTACGACTATAATTTAATATCGTTTTAATATCTTTCGCATGTGCCGTGCATTTAATTATTCGCTCAAATGAAATTTATGGGATACACAACTTTACTAAAATCCATCCTAGAATTATACGCAACATTTCCAAGACAAGTGTACTCGTTCCTTCAAATAATTTTGCTGCATTCATTCATAATCGTTTCTCGTTACCACAATTATTAATTCAGCGGTTACAAGAGGCATGCCTGAATTATCAAAGCGAATAAGCCGAATGCATTGTGCAATATTCGTCGGTGCATATTTCACAATCTCATTCGCTGTGTGTGAGAGTATATGCACGTGCGCACGCGTACGTAAAAAGACGAACACGTAGAGCAGCAGTCTAAACCGGGCGCCGACCAAGTTTGCGTATAATTATGCTGCAACTTCCTGGGTTACTAATTAATTCCATTAACTGTATCCTTTAAACACGACGAGAATTTTCTTTCGACAGAAAATTCGGACGGTCAACAAATGCGCTATTATATCCACAACTCGCGCGCAGCTCGCGTTTTAATGTGCGTCGTTCTACTTTACAACCGGCGGAAAGTTAAATTCAACCTTGAACATTTGCACCTGCAGCACCCGTAACGCCCGTTAAAGAAGCCCATCTCGAGTCAGAAATGACCAATTGTAATAAAACTTTGCAGAAATTATGAAATTTTTACACAAGCTTAATAGACAATTCTCTTTTTTTATTTTTTTTTATTTTTAACAAATAGTTTAAAATAAATTTCCAATTAATGTAGTAAAAATTAATCCAGAAAACATATTCCGGAATCACCTGGTAATTAAGCTGCAGAGCGCAGATGGTTCATTCAATGTGATATTTTATTAATCTGATGTCAACGTTAATTAGCGTACATTTTATTTGCTATACAGATAAAGTCACAAGCTACGGGGGGCTTCCAAGCGTTCATCATCCATTACAGAGAGGATCCTGATCAGCAGAATCTCATCGACTGGATTCAAGAAGATTGGGCAAGTTAATTAAAATTATTCAATCGTATTAAAACGCGTACCGTTCCCTCGTCGCGGTTACACCAGCATATTTCCAATACGCGTTTCCCTCGCATACGATACCCCGTCAAAGTATCGAATTCCCGAAATCAAACGTGTATCGGCGGCCTTAATAAGCGAATGTGTATAAAGCGAGCTATTCGTGCGCATTCCTAAGTAGCACAGGAAATTGTGCGGTCAGACGGCGCCCGCTACGCAAGCTTGCGCAAACTTTATCGAGTCGCCGCAGTACGAAAATCTGGCCGGATCGGCTTTCGATCGCGCGCGGCGTCCAAATGGCGCGTAATATAGTAGCATTCGACAATCGATATCTGGTCATCCAATTGTGGTTTATGAGATTTCAATAGAATCGCCCGGGTACACTGCCGCAATTTCGGTAATCCTATCAGTAGAAGCTAGTCGACGATAAACCGCACACGCGCTCCCGTGTTACACCACACGTTACTACCGCTAGATCTAACGAAAATTTCATTCGGCTCGCCATACTTTACGAGCACAAAGCGCGACAGTGATTTACAGGTATGGTCAAGTATCCGGCGCGGAACCGCGAGAATTAATTCAACCGATGGATCCGTCGCGTGGTTAATGGAATTTCGGTTTAACTAAAAACTGCGACTGCGACGAGGACGGGCAAAGTCGGTCGGAATGCGTCGTAATAAGCTTAAACGCGTTCATAGTTACACGCACGCATTGTATATAGGATCTATCGATCGATAGAGCCATACACGCATAAATTATTGTGCACCGCGGGTACATACGGAAACATTTGCGAATTGATTCGGTTAATGTCTGAATACGCGGGCCCGAGAGGCAGCTGATGAATCCACAAGCATCGAATTACCGCCGCAATTCCATCATCGGTGGAACCACCATCGCGTCCAACACCCCGGTGGACTGTCATTATATATATGCCGCGATAATTAATACTCATATTTTAACAAACTCAATCAAGTAAAATTAATCAAGAGCGCTGTATCATAGCTTTCATGATCCAACGATCATCAGAAATTAAACTAATTGAGTGCGTTTAACGCGAAGACGTTAACAACCAAATTCCGAAGACTTGTAACATCAATAACTGCTATAAAGTAGGAGCATATTTCATAGTTCTTGCCTCTTGAAGGGACAATAAGAATTTCTTATTGACATTTCATATATGCATATATACTATAGAAAGTGTTTGTTTCGCAAGGAGCAACTGTGAGCTAAAGCATCTAAAGTCAATTGTCAATTGTGTCAATTGTGAGAAATAAAGCAAAGGACCAATCGTGCTGTACAACGTGTCGTAATAACGCGTCGAACCATCTCGAATTTGGAAATATAATAGCTGATTTCGGGGCGATCGAGAGCGTGCGGAACATCGTAGAACTCGTTAATCGATGGCCGGCCGACCAATTGTGGTTTACGAGATTTCAATAGGGACGCTCGGCATGCCGGCGCGCAATTCCGGCAATCCTATCAACCCGGGGAAACCGAGGCATCGCCGAGTTGCCGGTATACTGTATTGTCTGGGCCCCGTCGGGATTCACTCAGTACCATTTATAGGCGGTTAATGAAATGCTTAGTACTTGGACTTGGTGCGGTGGCACGGAGCGTATTTACCATCGCCATCCCACTTATCAATTGGCTCACTCGGCCGGTTCGACCCGCGCCGATCGATATACAGGACGTATCACGAGAGACGTGTACGCCGGTAGCGCGGAAGAAATTCTATCCCCGAAGGAATCTCGAGTCGACTTTTCCGTAGCGAATATTTCATTCGGCGATTCCGTATCGCGGGACATATTTCAACGTTAAGCGTCTCGGCTGAAAAGTTAAAGATAACTTTTTCGCTACCGTTTGAAGTCGCAATGCATTCTCCGATAACGATGCGAGTATAAACAAATTAAGACTTGAATGCGCTGTTATTATTCACGGATATTTATCGTTGTATAATTTACTAATTTAAACGATGCAATTTTCATCAAACAGAAATCGCGTTGACAAATCGCGTTGACAAATCGCGCGGAGTCTTTGGCTGATATCTCTTGATATTGCCTGTACGTAGCATTGAGCGAATAATAATTAAATCGAGTTATAATCGGAAACTCGTATCTCGTATCTCAATACTCGACGCATTCGCATCTCGTATGAATATTCTGCGCGGTCGTGTTTCGTATTATGAATATTTGATTGGAACGAATTGAAACGTTACCGCATGAATGATTAAAATAAAACGCGGACCAGGACGCTAAAAACAAATCAGCTAAATTACGCAGTCTATCGGTTATTGCTTGTTATTATTTTTCGGTATATTCAATGCACACACGCGAGCACACGGTGCTTCTTCCTACTCGATCGGCCTTGCGTTATGGCCACTTCTTATATCTCGATAACGAATCGTCTGATTAATCGAATTGTACGGAGCACGTGTCGCGAAACGACAAAAGGAACGCTCTCACATGCAACCCCGTCGTTATTAATTGAATTCGTGATATTCCCCATATCGATTTTCTCTTTTTAATCCCAATGAGAATTTAATATTCTTCGCGCCGCGTAATTCATTTTCCTGCTTCTTAATTAAATGTAAAATATCCTCGTTCCGCCGCTAGACTAGAACCGCGCGAGAAATACGAGATATTCCCATCGTTGATTATGTGACGAAATCGCGGAATGCGCGCATATATATATATATATATATATATATATGCGCGTTTGATTAACACAATATTAATTGATAACGTGGCATATTATTTACTCAGAAGTAATTTCGCCAAATGCAATCAATTGCAAGATCCGCCGAATTGATTGTCTCTTGAACGACGACTAACACAAAACAAGGCACTCCCAACGGCATATATGCGTGCAGAATTAATTTCCATGTTTAACAGAAATAGTATACATACGCTTTATAGAGAGCATATATGCCTTTGCTGTTTAACAGCCGACGGGATCAGTGTGAAAAAATTGCTGAATTGACCAATGGAGGACATACATACGGGTAGGTCCGAAAAGGAAGAATAAGGCGCTCCGAGCTCGCACAAAAGACAGATATTGAGGTTTAATGAAGGTCTCGCGACTTGGACCAATGACGCCGAATCCCACCGACCCACATCATCCGACCCGGCCTTTTTCTCTCTCTCCCTCTCTCTCTCTCTCCTTTAATACCCGACTCTCGGCAGCGAGATTCCTTGTTCCTCTTGTACTATTTTCCTCGGCAAACGCGCGCTGGTTCGTTCTTTCTCTCTGTGCTTTTTCTTCTTAGCCGACCGGCTCTCTCTAAATCGGCGTATTTAATATTCCACCGCCTCAATTTCCAGCGCAGCCAGAATTATTTATGACGTCTTTGAAATTCATATTCACCCGTGGCATTCAACGCAAATTCGACCGCGATTGATCATATCGGCGCTGCATCGGCGTCGCCCGCACTCCGTCAGTGACGCTAAATATTCTCTCGAAGCACTTTTCACCCGATTTCTTGACTCTGCCCCCGCAGACAATATTCTCATATGTGCGAATACTGCGATAAATTTGTCACTCGACTACTATGCAAAAAAATACGAATGTAAAAATCGTTGAATGTAGCAATTATTTTTTATGCGAATATAGTATTGTTATATTATAAAACTTGTCGTCTTATTTTTCAGTTGCAATGTTGCGGCATCGAAGGCCCGAAGGATTGGGACCGCAACAATTATTTCAATTGTTCGTCGAGCGATATCGGCTCGAGGGAAGCGTGCGGCGTGCCTTTTAGCTGTTGCAAGCGAAAACCTAATGTAATTCTTCGTTCTGATACGATTATTAGTATTAATCCTATTATTAAAATATTAAGCAGTCTTTTTATTTCTTTCAGGAAATCATTAAAAATAAACAATGCGGCTACGATGTTAGAAAGCCTAGTTACGTAAGTACAGCATTCTGCTTCTATCTCGCCATCATTAACTCGCTAACACTGGCTCAATATTTTTAATTAAAGTATTTAAATAACAAACAATCGATAGAAAATATTCAAGTAACAAATAGGTAATAGAAAATCGGGCGATAGCTTTCCTCACACATTTATTATTTCTATTCAATAATTTTCTTTTTCTCTCTTTCTCATGTCTTTTGTCTGAACAATTTCCAATTAAGTTTATCTTAAGTTTATCAAAGTCCTGTCATTGTGATAAATCCTATAATCTCTTTCACCTGTGTGACAGTCACCGTTGTAAGACCTATACTCTACACTCACATTACGAGTGACACCCTAGCATTCCGGTCGTTTCTAGTTTCGCCTTGTTTCCGATTCGAAACTTGCGTCATTTCGTGCCACCGTTACGAAAGTACAGTAAACCAAGTGGAACGTGCCTCGGAGGGGCCGAATAATTTGTCTTTGGAATCGAGCTCTATCGCGCGAGTTCAGATACGAGGAAGATAGCGAAGGGGTAGTTCTCCGGGGTAGTTTTGCCGTCGGGCCGCGCACTCGCGCACGCGCGCGCGCGATTACACAATGTCTACAAGCGGCGAGCAAAAACGATCCGGGTCAAGAAACCGTGGAACTTAATTAGAGAGAAAATGGTCGAGTCCAAAGAACGAGGGGGGGGGGGGGTAGGAGAAGGGATAAGAACTTTTGTGCCGGCTTCTATTTTAAGAGTAGGTATATCATTCGCGATGTATAATGGCTTGAAGCTCGCGCTCGCTAATTACGCTTTCATCGAGAAGCTCCATCGCTTAATTATATTTTTTTGCCGAGCCACCGTTAATGCGCCACGATATATTACGAGCCGATAAAACGCGAATAAATAAATAACGATAAAGAGCTTTTTCCGAGCTGGTATATATTTAAGCGTCATCGATATACTCGTATGTATTACGCGGACCACGTCGGACACGTATGTAGAAATTAATGCGAATTAAATCCGAGATGGAAATCGCATTCGACCAATTTCAAAAGCGCATATAATTTCCAAACAATACGAACCGCCGCAGACAGATTCCATAAAAATACGTAACGCGGAAGAAAATCATGTTTATGCGTGCGCTCAACGCGAATGCGTCTCTCGCTCGTTACAGTAGACTCGCACTCGGGCGGCTTCGCGCCATAGCGAGCAGCACCTTATTACGTTTCTCTTATTTTCCCCCTGTGGTTTAGTACCGCTAAGTAATGCCCGTGCATCAGTCGATAAACTCTCTTAAGTTCTCTCTCTCTCTCTCTCTCTCTCTCTCTCTCTCTCTCTCTCTCTCTCTCTCTCTCTGGGGTATGCTTTGTGGGCGCTCTCGCGAGCTGCATAAGAATGTATCTACGTCGTCGTGGATCGCGATTAAGAGAAAAGTCGCGGGTCGTTTCTTCATTCACGCCCTTTGAAGAACACACCCTTTGTTGTCGTCGGAAACGGGGCGAGATATCGGTGTTTACTCTCGTGTTATCGACGCACCGCAACCACGACGATGGCGTAATTTCGAGCCTCTAAACCCGAACAAAGACCCTTGTGTGTGCCGGCTTTTTAAATCATTTCTATTTACCCCCTCGGGCCGATGCAGACGGGAGAGAGGAGTATATTCGAGCGGGGTTGCCTAAGAGCGGGTGAGGAGTGGCTAGAATTGAACCTCGTACCCGTCGCTGGTGCCGTGGTCAGCACCATGGTTCTGCAGGTACTCTTTTCCCTGAAAAAATTATCGCCCGCCAAGCTGGGAAGTCTGAACTTTCTTCTCTTGCGTCGATCGACCCGTCGATCTGCTAAGCCGCGCACCGATCGGTCGTTCCTCCATCCGCGATTCTTAAAATAAGTCCAAGATTTGACAAATCAAGAGTTTGGATATTCAGAAAAAATTTTCAAAGTATTATAGTAGATTAAATATAGATGGTGATTTCAATCTCGCAATATATATTTTCAGATATAGTTATCTGTAAACAGCGTAAACAGCGATCCCCAGCGATATTTCTATTTCCGTGAATGAGAGTTCCTATTTTATTCGCGCGGAATTGCTTCGCGACGTGGAGGCAAAGAATCTCACGAGAAATACGAGGCGACGCGGATTTTCCGAGAAACCACGTATGAATCTCGCGGCGAGAGAAATACCGTCCAATATAACGCTCGCGAACGCGGAGATTGATAGTGCGACCGCCGTCACGGAAAGGAAAGTACGGACTATCGTTCGTTGCACTCGACGTGACATCTGCGACAGCGTATACATGTTTTCACCATCTAATACACGCGTTATTACGCTTCAAGCTTCGATCGCGTTACTGCCTTACTTACTTTTCTAAATGTGTATGTATGAATATTCCAGACGCGCACTTTACAGTTTGCGCCGATCGATTTTTACGCTGATGTGCAAAGACCGGAAAAAGGTGAAGTTTGTCGGTGAGAACCGACGAACAATCATCGGAGCGATCGATCGAGCGATGCAAAAGTGGTTTATTGCTAAAGCGCTTAATTCCATTAAGCGATACTTTGCGCGCGGCCTGTCTCAATGACAATGCGACTGGCTGTAAATGCGCGCGCGAAAGTTGCGATTTCCCAGCTTTTCGGCTCCTTCAGTAGAGATGTCACTACGAACGTGGTCGCATGTATGTTAAATGTAGACAAATTGCACGGGATGTCTCGAAATAAATAATAACGTCCCGGATAGCTCGATCAGCTCGCTTTTATCAAGGGAAAATACAATTTCAGAACAACTGAAGAATCGGTGCTGATATGTAATGATTTAATGTCTAATTTTGAGACATCCGGTCTAAATTAGATACCGTTTTCACTTTTCGTTCTATTCACGGCGTACTATTCGATGACGTACATATGTTCGTTTAATTGTTCAATTTAGAAATGTTGCAATTAGTACGTAAATATATTTGAAACATATTTCATCGTTAAATGGGTCAGATGCCAAGTAAGTATCAGCTGTGACGTGTCAGCCTCGGCAATGCATTTTATATCAATATGTGGCGGCTACGGGAAGATCGATACGGTAAGTACTACGTATACCCGCTTTTGAACAGAAACGTCACAACGTCACAACGTGCAAACGCGCGGTGTAGTATAACATTAAACGCAGCCATCCAAAAGAATCTTCTGTTCCACATGACAGAACTACAAAATACGACTCGTGTTACAATTGTTTTATTTAAGCACGTTGCGCGCCAGATCTATTGAAATTTAATATATACGTGCTTATGGATTTCAGGGGTTTGCAAAAATTGAATATATCGAATAGCGATGAACGCCAATTCAAATATCTGCCGCTATTTGCAGAGCGAAGACTTAAAATAGATGATTATATCTAATATTACGTTCTCTGAGGTTGTGTTACATACATCGATATTTCTGTGCTAGCATTATAATTTATCGCGTAAACAATTTTGTTTTCAGAATGTTTCAACAATTATTATCAAGCACATCCGAAAAATCGCGCATAGTTTAAAACGATGGTTTCAAATAACTTTGAATTATTTTCTCTTTCCCTCGAAACGCACAACTCCGCGCAGTTAGATACGTTGTGTACTTTAATGAAGATAGAAGTATAAGTCATAAGCGCATGCACCGTGCAACTATTCTATAAAAGTGTTTATACGAACGCGGCACGCGATGAAATAATACAAGTTTTTCCTGTCTCGTAATCAGCACGGTGAATTACTGCCAGCTCGCTGCATAATCCCGACGGCTAGCAAACGATTACGCTACTTTCCTCCCCCGATGTGCATAACAAATGTCTGAAGAACCAGTTTGCGCGTTATAAATGCCAGCGCCTCTCTCTCTCTCTCCCTCTCTCTTAGCGCGGCTATATCAATTCCATGCTAATTATTCAAATTTCAATTTCGCAGCCGACGAGTTTTATTGTTATTTCGACGGCATTCGCATCCAATTACCTTGCAACAAGATTGCATATTGACATATGGCCGGCAAACTGGCACGCAATTAATATTACATTAATTGACACGTTTAATCGAAAATTATCGAGATATTCATAATTAAATTTGCTATTAAAATGCGTTTAACTTGACCAGCGGTTTGTCAGTACACACACATGTAACTGTAAAATTAACAAACAATTCAATGAGGCCATAAATTGATTCAGCAAGAATAAGAATTCATCCGCAATGCACGCAATGTAAACCCGCGAGTTTGAGATGCGAGTTTTTCACATAATAATCAAATAAATCAGAACGAAATTATATATCCTAGCTTTATAAAGTCTTGGTTGAAGGCTCTCGGCTATTTAATCAGCGTACGTTAGGTAATAGGATTAATAAGAGCTTAATTCGCGCTTGCGTAAAGTTACTAAACTCGAAATTTACGTGTACGCTCCACAATTTGCGTTGGAATGCATACATAAATTTCAAGCATGCAGTAACTTTATGCATGACCGACCGACCGAATTAGTCTCCCATTAGCTCTCATTAACACGTGCTCCCAGATTGATGTTGATTCTTTCGAGGAATATTATCGAGTAAAGCGTATCAAGCCGTACAGTAACATCGCGCAATTACGTAACGTCAGAATTACGAGACCGGCCTGCCAGGGCTGCCAGGGCTGCCAGGGCAGCCAGGGCGCGGGATCATATTACGCTAAAATCGCGAGATTATACCAGTACGCTAGAGCCTGGGATTACGCTGCGCTATAATCGCGCGCTTATCTATGCTAGTGCGCGTGATTGTACCGTATTAGAATTGCGATGTTATCTATGCTAATGCGGCAGATTATAGTGCGCTAAAATAGGGAGGCTGCCATCGCCATTCTACAATATGGCCCCTCGCGAAAAAAAAGAATCCCCTTCGGAAGAGGATCGTCTCGAGACGTGAGAACTATAGCAGGTAGTTGAACGAACGATGAAAATGAATAGAAAGTGGCACGTTTCGGGGAAATTTTTTCCACCGAGTCAAGTTAATCCTTCCTCGCGTCGCGCGCAGAGAATTTTTCACCACTCGTAGCTCACGCCCCGCCAAGAGCCTCAATTAACTGCGCTTAACCAAAGTCACGTTGCGCACACACCAAACCCTTCGTCGTCTATTTTCCACCCCGAGTCCTTTCTCCCCCCTCAATCTCGCCGCTGTCATCACGCGCATCGTCGACCGTTTTGACGCGCGCGACGTCGAAGAGCCGGAATAAATTAGCAGTTTCCGCGCGGGAAGGGAGGAACGAAAACTCTTAAGTAATTAGGGCATCTAACGCCCTGCTAATGACGGAGTCGCACAGTATCGCCGCGTATCGCGACATTAAGGAGGCAGGCGGGAGGGGAAGAGAGAGGGGCGGGGGGAGGGAGGGTCGGAAAAGTTGGGTCGCGAAGGGATAAGGTGTAAATGAAGTAGCGGGTTGAAAGCCTCGCGTAGTTACTCCGCCGGTTCCTTCGAGGGTAAACGCGCAAGGCACGGCGTAACAGTGAGTGAGTTTGTTACTTAGACTCTCTCTCTCTCTCTCTCTCTCTCTCTCTCT